GCCTCCCTCCCTCTTTCTTTGAACTTTTGGGCTCACTGCTCACAAGAGGGGGAGCTTTGTTCCTTTTAGGTGCTCACCCAGTGTAAGTGTAACCTCAGCTGATTTGGGGTGAGGTAGACTTACTGTACTTCAGGAGCCCCTGGATTATCACCCCCTTCTCTCGCCAGCAGACACCTTGCAGAAGGGTCACTGCAGATGATGTGGGAATGGGCTTATGCATGGCAACAGCAGAAACTTGCCTGCAACCCCACCTCATCTTCCAGTAACTTTGGCACTGTCACAGTCTGCCACATACCGCTAACACCCTTAATGTTCATGCAGAAGAACAAAGGCCCAACCCCCAGAGCCCCCAAGCCAGGCTCCAAGCCCCATGAAGAACATATTCATCTTACGTTCAGAGTCTTCTCCTTTGAAGTAACCGATAAGTTTGATTTCCTCGTCGATTTGGTCAAAGGCCTGAAGCTCCAGCTTGTTGTTTATGATCTCCACAGGGTCTTCTAGCAGCTGCCATGACAAATGCATTTGATAACGCAACGATTCGCAGCACCGACCTATGCCTGACAGGGTGTGTCACTAGGGGCCTTAGTGGGGAGAAAGAGGTCACCCAATTTCTCTGCTGCTGGAAACCCTACTTGATGCTCACTGCCTTAATGTGAGGAACTGAGAGATGCAGGTCACCTTCAGAGGGAGCCGTTAGCAGGTTCACTGCATAGGTTGAAGCATCAAGAGGGAAGCTGAGAGAGGTCTGGGTAACCCAAATGAGTGCTGAGGGACCTGCTGTGATGAGAGAGAAAGGGTAGCGATTGCAGCTGGCTTTAGCGAGGCTGAAAAGAAGGGAGAGCAGTTGAAAGGGGCTGGTATCGGGACTGTGAGCTTCTGTGAATGATGGATATATTTGTTTTGAAGTGTCATTTGCTGGAAGAGGTCATTGCAAAGACCTTGCTTTTGGAAAACACTGAAATCAGCATGCTAGAGGGTGTCCAAACAGTGTTTTGGAGCAGTGGAAAGTCTCGATGTGAATTTTCCTGGCTGATCCTCCTATGCAGAATGCATTAAACCCATGCTTTGGCCCCAGATGCGTCACAGTGTTGATGAGGAACTTGGAAGACCTATCTGCTGCTTCAGCCTGTTGTTGATCCAAACTTTGTTTCTGTTTTCTTAACTAACCACTGCTGGTGAAAAGATTCAGTCTGATTATTTCACCAAGCAATATTGGTGTAAATCAGGTGTGGTTTCACTAGGAAAAAAAAAAATACATGCAGGCCACTGTACGGCCTACAGAGGAGCAGAGAATCTCTGGGCTTGTTTTCCTTTGAGATCAGGCTGCAGAGACACCATACGTGTTTGGTTTTATTTCCCTACTTTGCTGGGTATTTTCCCTCTTGAGTGGAAAACACACAAACAGAAAGACTTGCTCTCTTCCTTTGTTCACAGAACATGACTTTTCAGCAGCACACCACAGAGCACAGCAAGCCAGACCTCCCAAAGCATCTTACGCCGCACTCCTTGCGAGTGATGCTCCGGCGTGAGGCCGTGCCTCCACTCTGCCCACAGCAGCCTGTGCAGCTCCTTGCTGCTATAGTGGCCTGAGCCATGGGAACCAGGGATCCCACCGCTGCCGGGGTCACAGCACGGCCCTGCCCTGTCTGTGGCCCTCCTGGGTGGGACAGATGCCCGTTTCTGTCCCTGAAGTTACTTGCATGTGTTTTGGCCACAATACCTGATGCATGCAGTCACAGACATTGCTATAGGAGAGCTAAGGTCCTAGGGAGCTGTTTCTCTTCCCTGGACATGCCTCTCCTCACCGGCACTCCTGCACCCCAGGTAATCATTTAGGCAACCTGCCACCCTGGGAAACAAATCCTGCCGGCTCTGCTGCTCGCCTTCCCTCCTTTATCTACCTTATTGCATGGCTGCTCATAAAGGGAGCCTCATTTCAGAGGAAAGCCAAGCTGCTGCAAAATGTTTTTTGGGCTGTTGCCTTTCCTAGGAATAAAATGTAAAGAAAGAGAAGGACGACGTGTTGATGAGGGAGTCAGCATCTCCTTTGCATTTAGGTGCGAAAGTGAGTACATAGTTGTGCCCGTGCACAAAATGACTCGAGAGCACTAAGTCCTAGGGCCTTGATCTTCTCTAACTAATGGCAGTGCAATTCGGTAAGTTCGCTGAAGAGGCAGTAGTACACTATACTGCGGTTCTGTCTAGAAATGGGCAAATACTTTCCAACATATACCTTTTTCAATGAATTGAGCTCTTTTTAGTTTCTTTATGAGAATGCTGCTTCTTGGATTTTTTTTTTAAATAACTGTTATTAAAAAAAAAAAAAAAAGAGAGGAAGAGTTTGCAAATGGCAAAGTGTTTGCACACCAGCTTGCTAACTGAGGTGGGTGACTAGCAGTTAGTTATGTGGGGTTCTTGCTTGCTTCCAATCAAATACTCCATAAACAGGAAAGAGAGGAGAATGTCTTTAAAATATAAGTGGTTGCTGGCATATAAAGGTACCAGCTTTCATGGGAACTCATGGTCAGAAAAGTATTTGGGAAGCTGGCAAATGTCATCTCTACCAGTGTGTAGCAAACAGGGATGGAATTTCAAATAAAGATAAACCTGTGTTTTTAGCGGAGTGAGTATTTGCAAGGTCTTCTCTGAGGGGCTTTATCTAGCTCTGAGCTTATCTGTGCTTACATCCAAGAGGAATTCCACCAAGACATCCGTGGCCAGTTCCCCATCAAATTCAATCAACCGCTCCTCCTTAAATACATAGAGACTTCCCTCTTCAACCAAACCTGAAAGAAGGAGACAGGAAACATAATGTGGTCAACGCATCACTAAAAGCATTTTTACTACAGAGTATCTTGCTTGTTATTCTACCAATGCCTCTTGGGAAAATGCAATTGACAATTCACTGTGTTGGTCAAGGTAGAAACAACCTGAGCAATCTCCTGACTGATGTTTCACGGCACGAGGGACAGACCTCAGCCAGAACTTGTGCTAGCTTCTTCTCAAATGCTGAAGTTTTCATCCAGGTCACAGTTTGGCCTCAGCTGGAAAAATTCTGTACCAGGAACTTGTTTTAGCTTGGCTGTCTATCTTGCACTAAATAATACTGGGCTCTAACTGACATTCCAAATTTTAACAACCTGTCACTAGATGGAAAATGGATTTTGATGCGAGTTGTGCTCTCTGCCCGGAGAAGGCTGAACTATGTGAACATAAACAGTGACCTGAAAGCTGAAGCGAGCTTCTAACTATCTGAGTCTTAGCTAGCCTTGGCAAAAGGTTTAGAAACCTTTGGTAGAGATGCCGCAGATGGCAGGCTGGCAGATTTGAATGATATATCACTGAACTGAGGACTGAGTGCCACTGCATCTCGGTGGAGACTCCAAAATCAGCAGCTCTGAGCTCCCGTAATGTGTGATGGCAGGGTACCACAGTCCAAGGCGGTTGGTTGGGTTTTCCTTCTTGGAGAGGCAGAAGCTCTCGGCTTTAGTTTAGCTTCCAGCACACACAGCCTTTAATTTAGGAAAGAAAATTACAGTCTGGTATACATTCTGATATGATTTAACAGTCTCTGACCTTAAGCCTAGTGGTATATATTTGTGTGCTGTTATATTTATATGCCATAGTATTTCCATATTGCTTTGTGGGCTAAAATATGAAGGGATTGCCAGTCCCTGGAAGGCAGCTATTTCCAGGGGTGGGTAATGCAGCAGCCGTTCACCTTTACAGCAGGTTTCCTCTTTTGCTCTGGGGAACAAGTCAGAAGGGTTGGCACCTGGCTGCCAAACCACTGCAAGGCTGTAGCTCCTGCATTAGCGGCCGGGGGTCCCCCTGCCATGGGGCTGGTGACATTTGGGGGCCTATGTGATTTGGGAGCCTGTGTAGGATTTGATTCTGCGCCACTGTGTCAGACCCATCTCTGTGTAGGAAGAGCATGGAGTTACTCCATAGCACCTATTTACAGTTTCTGTTCAGCAAGCTGTGAACTTCCACCTGTCATCGCGATGCCATTAATTGGTTTTCTTTTTCACTTGGTTTGATTTTGGTTTGGCACTCTCAACCAGGAAGCTTTTTGCTGGAAGGGTCTTGGCTTTTGCCTCTCATCCTTGTACCCCCACTTGATCCTGCCCATATTGGGGTGGGCAGTGTACAATTGCCACCATCACCTTCCCCATCCTGGTGACAAGGATTTGGCTGTCCTCTATGGGGCTGGCCATTGGGCATCACTCCTGCACTCTCTCCAAGCTATTCCAGAGGTATCAAACATGGGACTCACCTAACTTTTTGGCTAGTTTGGCATCCTTCTTGGAGTCCACCATCCCGAAGCCAATGCTCCTGGGCTCCAGGACCTGAGCTGCCAGCTGTGGGAGAAACCAGAGTGCCCAACGTTAGTAGCATTAACACCGCAGGGTAGCTAAAGGGCATCGTGCCCTGCTAGCATGGCACGACAGACACAAGTGACCCATATTCTGCTTTTGGACAGCACCAATGGGTGGGGTGCATCACATGCTGTCCCCTTGCTGAGATAATGCTGCCTGGATGTCACAAGGGTTCAGTTTCTTCCCACTGTGTCACAGCACCGAGTTTGTTGGCAATACCACATGCTGTTAACAGCTGTTTGACACTCGGACATCGGGAGAGAGCTCCCAGCTGAACTGGGGACACCAAAATAGTCAACATGGCTGGGAGAAAGACCTGTGCCACCAACACAAAGCAAAAGCTGCCTGCTCCATTGTGCCTCAGTGGCCTCCTGCGGGGCAACATGATATGTGGGCCCTGTGGATGTTTTATCCCTGGAAGTGCGTGGTGCCAGACAGCAGTGGCTGCAAACTGGAGGGGATGCAGGGCACTGCAGCATCATGACTCCTTCGTACGTGTGATGGGGTGGCCAAAGCAGGCTCTCAGCAAAATAAAGCAGGGGGGCTCCTGGCTTTGCAAAAGCGGTCCCTTCTCCTATGAAATGCTTTTAAGTCATGTCTCCTATCCAGGCTTCAGTAACCTCCCAGTTCCTGGTCCCTTCTTCTGAAGAAACGAATCTAATCGCAGCCATGCTTGCGTTTACCTCCTTGCAGCTTTGCAAAACCACTGCCTCCTGTTCCCACCATTTTTGATGAAGGGGCCTCTTGAAGATATCGAGTTCCTGCCTGTTTTGTGAAAATAGATATGTGAGGAAAGGAGAGACGCTCTGCAAGTGCTCTGTGGTGGGAGCGGCCCCGGGTGAGACCCTGTGAATTCCAGATGGGCTCCATAGAGGTGCAGTAACCCTGGGAAATGAGCCCCCTTACTCACCAGATGACAGACTTGGCCCCACCACAAGCACGCCAGAGACCCTACAAGGCGGTAATGATGCTCTGAGACCACCAAGCAGCTGTAAGAGCCCCCTCCTCCTCCCTCTCCCTCCCCGCTCCTCAAATGCCTCTGATGCCAATGGTCTTCTTGCTGTCCCCCATCATAACCTGCTGAATGTTGGGGGAGGATGATGGGGATGAGGGGTTGGGGGCCTCCGGGACAGGAATATCCCTATTAGGGCACAGCTGCCTGTGCTCAGTGGTGGGAGGTTGGAGGGGGGCAGAAGAAAAGCCATGACCAGAGAGATGGCGGGATGATTTATGAGAAACAACCTCCCCCAGGGCCCATTTTGGCAGCCTCCTCCAGCCTCAAAGCCAGTTCGAATGTCACCCTGCAGCCGCGCAGCCCCTTTGCTCCCCCGCTATAAATAGCCTCTGCCTGTGCCCGGCCGCTGCGAGAGCGAGCTACAATTAAAGGCATCGGGGACCAAAAGTGGTGGGACAGCCCCCTTGCCTGAGCATCGGGGTGTCATGAGGCCGGCCAGCTCCCCATGCTGGGAGTGCCGAACCCTTCCCTGAAATCCTGGGGGATGATGGCAGGCACCCTGGTTAATCAGGGCTAGGGGACCTTGCTTGGGTGAAGGGGAGAGACAGAGAACATGGTTATCTTCTCCCATCCACCAAATAAGCATCCCCAGGCCTATCTCAAAGCCCTCCAGAAGGACATATTCTCCACCAACCACCACAGCATCACTGCAACCTTGATCCCCCTGCAGCTACCTGGCCTGTTGTCTTGAGAGGGAAATGCTACCATGTGAGGCAAAAGGGGTGCTCATGTTATGCAGGAAACAGGCGATCCCACTACTCTTTCCTTGCTCTCTGCCACTGCTTTGAAATAAAGGTGAGGCTGCACGTTCAGGGCTTGTGCTTACAATGGATACTGCCTGAACCGGGCAGAGCACTGGTCTGTGTTTGCACACCCATTGACAAGGCATCTGAGCACTGGTCTGACTGGTCTGGCAGCCCATCACCTGGCTCAGGCCACAGCTGTCCACATTACAGCACCTGAGAGCAGCTGGTACCCAATAATGCAGGGAGAGATGGAGACCTCGTGTGAAATCCCTAGACATCTGCAAGCGGGCAGTGGTGAGAGAAACTGTTTTCTGTTCCTCATGGTGGAGATCTGCCTTCACTGGACAAAGAGATGGAGACTGTAGGGTCATCAGCTTTTGGGGACTTTGTCAGCATGTCACCACTTGTTGGTAGTTGTGTAGACCAGCAAGAGGTTCCTCAAAGTCGGCGCTTCAGGCTGTGGCTGCACAATGACCAGAGGTAAAACACAGAAAGCCCAAGGGAACAAGACTGTTCAGTCATGTCCAGTCCAGTCCATACTTGATCTAGCTACTTACTTACAGCTATGTTAGCCATGTGCCAGACAAAGTCAAGGCAGTTTAAGCCTAATAGTTCTTGACCCCTGCACACAGAAGATGGTTAGGTTTTCTTGGAGGTGTTTGAAGAAGCTCAGAAACATGCAGAAAAGCTGCAACACTTGCTACAGACAAGTGGTTGGACATGAACGGGGATGTTTGCAAGAGAGGAGGCATTGATCACGAGTAATGTATGTCAGCACACAGTGTACGCAAGGTAGCTCTTCAGGGGAATGTGGGTGCAGCCATGTAGCTGTGAGCACGGGAGCTTGCTG